TATATATATATATATAAGGAGAGAGAACAGAGGAGAGAGAAAAAAAGTGACAAAATGAGCTTCTTACAGTGGAGGAGAACGAGCATCCCATAGAAGAGGTGAGGCTGACAGTGGATCCAACAGACAACCCAAAAATCCCTGCACTAACATTTCGCACATGGCTGATTGGTGTGACATCATGCCTGCTCCTCTCCTTCGCAAACATGTTCTTTGGCTACAGAACAAACCAACTCAGCATAGGATCAGTCTGCATACAGATCGTCGCACTTCCATTAGGAAGATTTCTATCAACAACGCTCCCAAAGAGAGAAATACGCCTCCCCCGAACAGACTGGTCATTCTCCCTAAATCCAGGACCTTTTTCAATGAAGGAGCATTGTCTCATCACTATTTTTGCGAGTGCTGGTGCGGGAGGTCTCTATGCGATTCACATTGTTACTATCGTGCGGGCATTCTACCATAGAATGATTCATCCCATGGGTGCCTTCCTTTTAGCACAAACCACACAGGTGAGGATGATATTTTGCATCAACAAATGCATTCTTGTTAGCTGATGCAATTTTGTTTTAAAAACTGACAGTTGGTTGGCTACGGTTTGGCTGGAATTTACCGAAAGTACTTGGTGGAATCTCCATATATGTGGTGGCCAGCAAACCTTGTTCAAGTCTCTCTTTTCAAGTAATATTTCTTATAATTTTGGACTACAGTTGAAGATTATCATATAGAATGTCCAACTAATTGCTCAACTAATGACTTTTATAGAGCGCTGCATCTAAAGGAGGAGAGAAAGAAGGGAACCATGACAAGGTTCCAGTTCTTCATAGTGGTCTTCATCACAAGCTTTGCATACTATACCATCCCAGGCTTCATTTTCCCTGCAGTCTCAACCATTTCTGTCCTCTGCTTGATCTTCAAGAAATCAATCACCATGCAACAGATTGGATCCGGATTGAAAGGACTTGGGCTTGGATCCTTCGGAATCGACTGGTCCACCGTCGCAGGCTTCCTTGGCAGCCCATTGGCCACACCTGCAACGGCAATCTTCAACATATTGTTCGGCTTTTTCATAGGGGTTTATGTGTTGATCCCAATTGGCTATTGGACCAACACTTACAATGCCAAACGATTCCCTATAATATCCTCTCATGTCTTCGATTACGCTGGCCATGCTTACAACACCACAAGAATCATAAACAGCGACACATTCACTTTAAATGTGGAAGAAGAAGAAAACTATAGTAAAATAAACATAAGCATTACTTTTGCTCTGCTCTATGGAATGAGCTTTGCATCTCTGACTGCGTCAATCATGCATGTTGCTCTTCATGATGGAAGGTATGTTTAAACAAAACTTAGGCTATATGTTAAAAAGCATATTTTAAGATTACTTATATTGCTAAATTTATTAGGAATATTTGGAAGATGTGGCAAAGTAGTAAAGAATATGCTAAGGAGAAGACAGAAGATGTTCACACAAGATTGATGAAGAGAAATTATGAGCCTGTGCCTCAATGGTGGTTCTATCTTCTTCTAGTAACGGTTATTGGGCTCTCCATCTTCACTTGCGAAAGGTTTCACATTCAACTACAGCTCCCATGGTGGGGAGTGTTATTTGCTTGCTTCATAGCTCTACTCTTCACATTACCTATTGGAGTGATTTTGGCTACCACAAATCAGGTAATGCTCGATGTATTATTATAAAAAAAATAAAATAAAATTATTATACTTAGTATATAAAGGAACGCTTATAATAATAAAATCATGATCATACTCATAAGAAGAATTTTCTTATTAGATCTTTTGTTTGGAAGACTTAATTTTTCTACTTAGTATGCAGGCACCTGGGCTAAATGTCATTACAGAGTACATTTTTGGTCTAATATTACCAGGAAATCCTATGGCAAATGTGACATTCAAAACATATGGAACCATAAGCATGTCCCAGGCACTTACCCTTCTCAGTGACTTAAACCTTGGACATTACATGAAAATCCCCCCAAAGTCCATGTTCATCGTGCAGGTAACTCAGCACAAGCGGAATTACTCCCATTCTAGAAACTTCAATTTTTCCAAGATGAATAAATCATAATATTTCAAATGATATAAATGTAGTCACATTCATTAACTGATCACATTCAGTTAACACAATTTTTGTCAAAAAATAGATCAATCATGTACAGCTCAATAATTAGCTCATGTTAATCCAGCACAAAATTCGCTTTTACTGTGAGTTCACTAACATGTCATAATATTTTGTTTGTGGCAAAAATAAAAGTTGACAGGCACAATGATAGCATCTTCAGTTTACTTTGCAACAGCATGGTTTCTTCTTGACACAGTAAAGCATATATGTGATCCAAAAAACCTTCCTGAAGGTAGCCCATGGACTTGCCCGAACGATGATGTCTTCTACAACGCATCCATAATATGGGGGCTGGTTGGTCCAGTGAGAATGTTTGGAAAACTTGGGCACTATTCAGCTCTGAACTTCTTCTTCTTATTTGGTTTACTGCTACCCATTCCCTTCTGGTTGCTGTCAAAGATCTTCCCAAGGAACAAACTGCTCAAATATATCCACATCCCCTTGATCATAGCGGGTGCAGGTGGACTCATTCCTACGCATTCTGTGAACTTCATCATGTGGGGTGCAGTGGGCGTTTTCTTCAATTATTATATCTATAAGAGGTATAAAGACTGGTGGGCAAGGCACACCTATGTAATGTCTGCGGCTTTAGATGCTGGAGTAGCATTTATGGGAATTTTCATCTTTTTCGCTCTACAGTTTAATGATATCAGCGGGATGGATTGGTGGGGAGGTGTTGCGGATGATTATTGCCCGCTTGCTGGTTGTCCTACAGCGCCTGGAGTGCTGGTTGAAGGTTGTCCGGCCATCAATTCCTAAGTAGTCTAGTTGTTAAGCCTCCATCAATTAATATGTTTTATTTAAAGTTATTTTGGTTGATGTATATAGTATTGGGTTGGTCCTAAATGTCCGATTTCAGAAATTTAGTATTGATAATATTGTGAAAGTTCATTTCTACAAAGGGGACAATTTATGAGCTATTGGGAATTTTTATGATGTATAAGTTCTTTAACCATTTTTAAATACTAGAAAAATTACACTTGTCCTAAGTGTACAGGTTGAATTTAAATTTACTTGCAAGTAATTTCAATGCTTTGCTGGCAAGAATGATTATGAAATAAGTAGAAGGGAAGGAGAGAAGCTCACAAATTTCATTATATTGCTAGAAAGAACATGACTTTTGTAAATTATTTGATTGGTCACGCTCATCCTTAACATCCTATTTATAAGCTAAGGTCTATGGCATAGCACTACCAAAAAATATATATATTTAATTAATGTAAGTAAAACAGCATAGAAAGGCTTATCAAGTGCTTATTTTAAAGTACACTAAGCTAATCTATGTGATAACATTAAATATGACACTTTTTATGTAAACGATAAATCATGTGAACTGCTGACTTCACATTTGATTGTTGATTTTTGCAAGTTGCCTGAACTCTTTTGGTGGGGGGTTGATGAGGTGGTTTTGCATAGCCTTTGGATAGAACAGCTTCAAATGAATGATCTCTAACAATATGGATTCGGCGGCAAATTTTGCAAATACGTTTGCAACTTTTGTCATGTATTTAATCTTGAAATGCCAACTAGCCTTGAACCAATTTCATGCTGATCGGTGAGACCAATCGAATTATTGGTATTTTGACATACATTTATAAGTTCTTCTATTCTTTTACTTAGAAATATCATGAAATTAGAAAATGAAGTACTCAAATCTATTTTCTTAAGTTGTCACATTGATTATGACTGATTATGTTGATTTGACATTTTCACAAAAGTTGTATCATGAAATTCTATGAATATAAACCTAAAGGAGGCCTCATGGGTGTTTTTGCCTATTCTTATTCTTTGCCTGGCTCAACAAGCCCTTTCAATTACTAAGGTGAAGCACTATGCAAAATCCAAGGTTAAAATCCCGCAAAAATCAAGATGTTCTCACTTTCATGATAAAAATGTTTAAGAAAAAAAGTTAAAAGTTCAAAAATAGATGAGGGGGATGGAAAAACTATTCAACACAAAACTCAATTCTCTTCCTAAAACAATAAATTGAAACCCGATAAAGCAAGGAGATTATCGATCCAAAGGTTCATGTTAGCCCTACAACTTTGTTGGATGTTCCGCAGATCTTGCAACTTCAATGAGC